TACTCGTGACGGTAAAAACAGATGACCAGCATGAAGGGATCATACTAGGGGTGACGGCAAAGGACACCTGGGGCACTCAGTTGAAGACCCAGGGACGCAGTAGAAGACCAGGGGCACTCAAAAGATGACCCAGGACACTCAATAAAAGCCCTGGGGTACTCAGTAGAACACCTGGGGCACATTCCTTGGGGTGCCAGGGTCTAGCAACACCTCTGAACAGTATTGGGATCACAATTTGCAGGCTACATCCCCCATGACTTGTGGCATGAGGGATTCTTGACGTTGTCACATCATGGCCAAGTGACATCGGGACTGACCTCCCTTGCAAAATGCCTTTCCACTGGCCAAGGCCAGTCACTGGACACGGGGATGGAAGTTTGAAGAGCCTTGTCATGGTAACAGAGAAATTCAATCCATAGTAACTTCTAAAATGTGGTGACTTGACTAAATAGAGGCTCTGGAAAAAGGTCACTTCTAAGATGTTAAATAAACCGTTTATAATATAAAAAAGGGGAAATATATCTTCAGAACTACTAAATATATGTACGTCCCAGATATATACTATATGCTGATCTTGCATTAACTTCGTCTTATCACTTTACTTCACAATTACAATATACCATGAGGAACTTTCTGAAGCTCATCAAGAAACTGACCTCTCCCTTGTAAAATGGTCTTTGATGTATAGAAAAAGCGTTTATCCCAAAGACCTATGTGCTACCACAAAGATCTCCTTCACTATAAAGATAACATTGTGGCTTCGTATGAGACATTGCAGAAATACAGTAGTCTGTTTGCTTCTACTAAAGATTGTTATCTTCAATGTTAAAGTGACCATCAAACTATTTTATTTGTTGCATTCAGCAAACAGGCTTAACAGCAGTGTTATCGATTGGAGAATTCCCAGCTAATAGGCTCTTCACCAACATCAACAGTCCAAGGGTGCTTGCGGAGGTGCTAAGGTGCCTACAAACATCGGCTACAATAGTCAGGGTCAAGCAACGATCATCTAAAGGCTCAATCCAACTGCCTTCAGAGAAGCAAATCTTCAGCGGACAGTTCCATAAACATGCAAGGTTGGCAAGTTAATTTCAATGTAGAGGTGAGCAGTGCAGCCATGTGACGCCTTGGAAAACACTGAGCCAAGTCTCTTGTTTGACATAAACAGTCCAAGGGTGCTCGTGGAAGTATCAAGGTGCCTACAGACATCCTAAACATTGACTACAACATTCAGGGTTAATAAATGGCCATCTAATGTTTCATTTAAAGGGACAATCCAACTGCCTTAAGGGCAGAAAATCTTCTGTGATCAGTTCCATAAATATGCAAGGTTGGCAAATTAATTTTAGCGTTGAGGTGAGCAGGGCAGGTAGGTGATGCCAAAGCCACTTTTCTTGGAGAAGGACAATAGTGAATGGGACAAGTTCCTGTTCCCTGGGTATTGTCAGCTGGAGGAGAATCTGCGCTCACACACAAATGTGGGACTTTTGCCAAATCACACTAAAAATGATTGGTGTGGGTGACTGTATTTTTGATTACGCTGGAAGGGTGAGGTAGTGGATTGCTGGATTATGGTCTAGGTGAATAGTCATATTTGATAGGGCTCTCTAGTACCTAGTGGGTTCTGAGTAAATGTTCCAAGAGCGGTAGAATACAGAGGGTACCAAACTGTTACTGATAGTCCAGATAAATGTTTATGGAGTTTTGCTTCAAGTTAACTTACAATACAATTACACTTCTTAGGTCACAAATCCTCCTTCCGATTAGGCTTTTCTACAGATTAGGGGGTTCTATAATCTGTCACACGTCTCTTCTTATTGTGCCAAATGCCTGACTTCTCCACACTCTTCCTAAGCACACATCATGCTTCACACCCGCCAACTGATCCCCACCATCCCAGAGTGACCTTCTAAACCCACAGACTTTGAGACAAATTTCACAATGGATAAATCGTGTAAAAGCACACTCTGTGATTTATTCAGTCTCAAAAAGTGGTTTATAAAAACAGAAGTGAAATAAAATATGGAAAATGGAATTAGTTTTGTGCCTGATTTAGAAACACAATTTACTACACATGGCTTTTATATATCAACATGGCTTTGTATTGTATTCATTTTATAGAGAATTTTCTGATTTTGCATCTTGGTCTCATCTGTTTGTCAATGGAAATGTTAGAATGTCCATTCATGTTCCAATAGTGGACCCTAAAGTTAGGTTTGCTTTCACTGATAAGCCAGGTATTAAAACTGCCCATACAGTTGATTCACCCATCCAAAATAACAGCGTGAGGGTCCTGGCGGGGATCATACACTAGTCCAATTTGCACCAGTCTATGGTCAGCATAAGAAAGCTGGTCCTGACATTGTAAGACAAGTGAGTAAAGATTTCACTAATGTCTACACTGAAAATACAGGTCAATATGCCAGCTTCAGGTCATGTGAACTGGAAATGGAGAGCAAAGTGGCCTATTTTTACAGCTGTCTTCAGTGCCCCTACCTACCCTCAGTCCATAATGTCTGGCTAACTAAGGGCCCATTCAGCATGTACTGATGTGAATGTGTTCCATTTCATTTTGAATGTGCCGCCTTTTACAGCTAACAAATATTTTAACAGACATGCACTTTTTTTTTTTTAAATCAGTTGTGGTGTGCTAAAACGCACGTGCGTGATGTAGGCACGATGGGGTATTATTCAAAATGCATAGCGCCACAATGCACAGGAAACGTTAGCGTACATTGCAGAAACGCATGGGGACTGATCTATAACACGTTTGCCCCAGCGTATAGCTGAGTGAACGACAATCGCAGCACATTACTGCCACTAGCTACAGCTGAACAGTATAAAAATGTCCTATATTAATCATCCATCTAGTGGCAGGAATGCGCTGCAAACATCATTTGATAAGGTATATGCTGGGTGAATGTGTTTTAAATCAGTTACATAGTGTTATTGGGTCCTGCAGCACACCACATTTTTAGGTCTGGCACCTAATGGAGCTTGCAAATATTCTTACTTGTCAACAAAATATCTTCAGTTTGCCCTGGGACCCCCCAAACCAACGTACTTGTTTACCATTTTCTTGGCAGAGATGTGCTTTAGCCTTCCCCAATATTCCACATGGCCAATAGGAAGGCATTGGCAATAACATGCTGGGAATGCAGCCAGAGCTTTGACTTAGGATTGACATCAAGGACGATGGTCACGCTGCTCCCAGGTGAGGTACAAGCACAGAAGATCTTACTTGACAAGTAAAGGTACATGCAGGCACATTCTGTGGCCTGCCATCAAAGGACATGGACTGGAATTGCATTGTTAGCTTTGTGCTCCATATAGCTTAAGGTTGGAACAGCTGACCCAGCTTGCTCTTGAGTTTTTTCAAATATCAGACAGATCCAGCAGTCTAGCACCCATAAGTAACTTACAGATTACATGGGAATAGGTCACTATTCACTGTGCAGATTTACTGCATCACCTGTTCTTTACAACTGGGTAACAACTGGGCAATGGAGTCAGTTGTTTCCTGTTAAATAGCAGCATGTCAGGTCTAAAAATGGCTTTGCCCCAAATAAACACCTATGTAGGTATACTAACCCTGCCAACGTAGATGGTCATTGTACAGGTAAAATTGCTTCCATATATATATATATCATTTAGTTGTGTATGTAACTTTTGTTGGGAGATCAGCATTAAAAGAGAAGTAAAGCCAATTCTTGGCTCCATAGCTTCCCGGCCAATCAGCATCGAGCCAGCCAAACAGCATGGAGCTGGCTTCCCGGCCAATCAGGAAGTCGGGTGGCGAGTCATTACCTGCCACCTTGCTTCCTGATTGGCCGGTAAGCCAGCTCCACGTTCCCACGTGCTCTGTCGGTCACAGGGAGATTTCCAGTATCGGGGGTAAGTATTGGAGCATTTGGGCAAGTACGAATAGTTGCCCAAATACTAGTATCGGTGCATCCCTACCTGTGACCCAAAAAGAGCCGATAGTGGGCTAATGCTTTTTTTCGGCTGATGGGGGGAGAGCCACACTGAGGTCGAGAGGAATCCTAACAATACTGTTGGCATCCATCATGGCCACCTAATTGACAACTGGCTTGAATCTCTGTGTGCAGATGAGACCCAGAGCCAGCCACGCCAACACCCTCCATGGCCTGTAGCTCCAAATAGCTCTGGAGGAGCAGAGAGGGTAGGTGGAAATCCCAGAGGGTAGTGACCCAACTCTCCATACCGAGAGGAGCAGAGACCGAGAGGCAGCTGATCAGCAGTTACACAATCAGTCAGCTCTGTGTCTTAGAACCGGTGTGGGCAGCTGCAGCATCACAAAACGTCAGGGTGAATATTAATGTGGAACATTCTATTCACCCTCTCCTTTAAATTGGAGACCTCTTCTGCTGGTAGTCAATATACTTGAATGGACAGCAATATGTTTAGCTTGTAGCATTAATACACATTGCCCATTTACTTTTTATTAATGTGAACTACATACTGGTAATGTAGAAACATGGGTTGCAGAATACAACAATGGGAAAATCTAACTTATCTCTGCTATTGGAAACGCAGAATACTCAGAAAGGCATATGTGGGGTGCCCATAATAACCAATCAAGTTCTTTCTTTTTATCTAAAGCCTGCTGGGAAAATTATCACTGATGTACGACTGGTTCCTATGAACAACAGATATGCAAAACCAGACTCCTGGCTTAGCCACTGGACGTCATTCAACCCAGATGGCCACCCTGTGGTGAAAAAGAAGTACTGCAGGAAATGATATGGATTGAATTCTGAGCTGATTCCTTTGTACACTGCCCAGGTTGGGCTTTAAATTCTCAGAGACCTTTGATACATGAAGCTTTTTGTTCATTATCAGGCTCATTTAAATAGGCAACAAAGTGCTAAGTGCACATTGCAGTATCTATAGCACCAAAGATCATTTATATAACTGAAGTTAGTCCAGCACAAGATTCTGATTGGCTCCCACGGTATTCCACTTCACTACTTTTGCTTTTTTATTGAAGACATCTAAATGCATTATTAAATATGTACAATTACTAGTTAGAGTTATAACAGGCCAGGTGAGATGTGAAAGTGTGATGAGTCCTGGGGAGGTTCCCAGAAATGAGAACAGGGGGTGATCTCCTTCACCTCTTCTTCTTTGTCTCTTTCTTTTGCTTTTTACCAGCCGTCACAGTGGCCATCTTGGGTTTTCTCAACACATCTGTGCTCTTTATATCCGAAGTATCAGGTTCCTGGTGGGAGGGATGAAAGCAATTGAAGGCAATGTCAGCTACTATAAGATATATCAAAGGCCAATCTAATCATGTTAGCCTTAAAGCAACCCTGCCTCTATACATAAGGCCCACACACTACAAAACGCTGCTCTGATCCAGAGCAAGTGTTTCCTGAGCGTCACTGGGAAACTGACACTTCCTGAAGAGTCAACTTTCTGGATCCCTTGCAGCTCTCACTGCTTCCTCCTGCTGACCTTCATGACACAAATGTATCTGCTACCTGCAAAGAGGTCAGCAGGAACAGCCGGTGAGAGCTGCAGCGGACCCTGGAGATCAGCACTCCCAGAAATGTTGGTTTTCCGACAGACTTGGCAGCCTAGACAGTGGAAAAAAAATTGTATTTACAGTCTTCTCAAAAGGTATGCATTTCATTTAAAACGTGTAAAGCCATGTTCCAGAGATGCACACCACTGCCACCGGATAAAACCAACCTTATCAGCTTTGTCAGCTGTTCCAGGGCAGATCGGCATCGCAAATCATATGTGCAGAAGAACCGATCTGCCCTGGAACAGCTGACAAAGCGTTGGAATTCTTCACCTGTTGGCGGTCACATATTCTACCGCCGTAAAACTGGGCGGGATTACGTTAAAATGTGTGACCACGTCACCAGTCACACATTCCAACGTAGTCACAAACTTTGATAGAACAGCGCCATCAGGGGGGTATGGCCGGTACCCATGTGAGGGGTCTGGGCAGCCTCGGGGGGCCCCTTACATGGGTATCAGCCGTTTCCAGGGGCGGCATGGCAGAGGTAACAGGGGAGGGGGTGGAGGAGGCCGGGCACCAGCAGCAGTAGGTAAGAATATTTGGGATGGTACAGGGAAAGGGACACCGGCGACCAGCCCACCTGGGACCCTGCAGAGCCCACCATAGAGAGTCTCAGGTGGGCTATGCAGGATCTATGGTGTGCTCTGCAGGGTCTCAGGTAAGTCCAGCGCGCTACTGCAAGATTAGAGATCGCCGGGGGGTTTGGGGACCAGTGTGATCCGCTCCTGCACCAGGGCCCTTTGGTTATTAGGTCCGCCACTGAATGTCCATGCTGAAGGGTGTGAAGGCCGCCATGGACAAATGGTCATCGCCCCATGAGATTATGCCATGGTCATACAATACTGCTGGACAGTTTGGAGTGTAAAGCATTATGCTTGCCTTTAATCTAAAGGTACCCGTGTGACTGTTTAGACTATAACCGTGTATGTCTACCCAAAATCTTTTTGAATAGAGTGAGGAAGGATGGGAATCCCTGCTGGGTTTTTACTGATATCCAGGGCTCAGTTTGAGATCCTCTATTGTGTGTTCGAGCACTAAATCGGGCCGGAACACACTGGAACAGGTGTGAACCAGCCCTGATAGTCATAATATACATACTGTTTATTTTAATAGAAAAAAAGGTATCAAAATCATGTTTCTTTTTTGGGGGGGCGGCCCTTAATGGTTTCTTGCATCGGGGCCCTGAGGTTTCTAGTTACGCCTCTGAACCATATCATACAGCACATGTACAAACATCTACCCAGGGACCGCTCTCTAATATTTTCTTTCTTTCTCCTTTTACATTCTTTCCTTTACCTTTCACCCCCCCCCCCCCCCCCCCCCCCCTCCTACAAACACACACCCAGGCCAGCATC